CAACAGCTAAAGATGCTGAGAGAGCTTCTCAGGTGGAAAACTGACAGTTGAGGTTCAAGACCCAAGTGCTACACGATGTAATGAGCTCTGGTTCTTTGCTCCAGCTCTTATCCACCCAGCAATTCGAAATCATGCAAATGTGAGTAGAAAAATGGGTACCACTTTGGTGGGAAGGTAACAGCATTCCATACTTTATAGCCATGCTGGCCATATTACAGAAATTGTCAGCTCAGAAAAAAAAGTTATGGAGAACTAGACTGGAAAATGGACCTACCATATTTGAGCTCTAGAGCATTGCTTATCAACCTCCAGCATGTAGCTGGAGAATTCTGGGTGTTAAAATCACACATCTTAAAATGGGTAAGGTTGAGAAACAGTAGTTTGGAGGAAAGGGATATGGAACAATCATTTCCTCGTGATTGCCAAATAGATTCTGGTAGTCCTCAACTTACAGTAGTTCATCTAGTGACCGTTTGAAGTTACAAGGGAACTGAAAAAAGTGACTTATGATCTAAAAATATGCTAAGAAAGGAAGGAAGGAAGGTAAAGAAGGAGAGAGAGATAAGAAAGAAAGAAAGAAAGAAAGAAAGAAAGAAAGAAAGAAAGAAAGAAAGAAAGAAAGAAAGAAAGAAAGAAAGAAAGAGGAAGAAAGAAAGGGAAGGAAAGAAAGGTCATATATGAAAATATGTTCTGACCTTTGCAGCATCCCCATGATGATGTGATTGAAATTCAGACACCTAACAACTGGCTCATATTTATGACGGTCGCAGTGTCCGACTCCCAGAGTCATGTGATCGCCATTTGTGCCTTTCCGATAAGCAAAGTCAATGGGGAAGCCAGATTCGCTTAAAAACCACATTCCTAACTTTTACCAACTGCAGGGATTCACTTAACCACCCTGGCAAGAAAAGTTGTAAAAGGGGGCAAAACCCACTTAACTGTCTCTCTCAGCAACTTAAATTTTGGAACCGATGGTGGTTGCAAGTCGAGAACGATCTACACTGGCCCTCATTTTGTCAAGAGGCAAATCCAGCGAGCTGCTGCCAGTTCGGACCAGTTCTAGCAAACCAGTATGAATCACAATCATTTCGCTCCACCCACCCACCCACCCCCACCCTATCCTGTCTTACATTTCCTTCTTTTGCAGCTCAGCTGATCCGCGCGGCAAAGTGCATTACTGCGCCTCGGCTGTTCTACTTACCAGGGAAGGCTAGAAGGCGAGCTGGAGAGGTTCCAATTGTTGTATGTTGAATGCTGCCTGCGCGTGCGCGCTCACAGAACTGGTTGTTAAACCAGTTTCAGCCCACCACTGGGCCAATCCCCCTGGCAAACGTTATGTGAGAGAGCGTTCGTTGTGACCTTCTGCCAATGTCCCAGTACAGTATTCCACACTAGCTGAAAAGATCAGCCTATTTCTCCCAGAGAGAAAATGATAGGAATGCAATATTTTTTTTTGAGCAGCTGAGTTAATAATAATACCTTCTGGACTCTGGTATGTATTTTAATAACCATTAATCAGATGTTCCTTCTGTCAAGGTCTTTCAGGCACTGGTTGAATAATGCTGGTCTATCCATCCTTTCTGAGCTTCTCAAAGTGATTTAGGAATTGCTCCTTTCTTCCCATTCAGCCTGTATGGAGCCTCAGGTGTCTTCCTGAATCCCCACTGCAGTGTAATCTCATGATTCTGAAGGGAACAATTTGTCATTACTGCCTGCTTAATATTTTGCTCTAAAGATAGCACCAGAGGATAAATACCTCTACCGATCTTCTTTGAGCTTATGCATGCCATTAAAAAACAACAACAAACCATATCTGCAACTTTATATATACACCAAAATGTAATACACAAATAGGTAATTAATGTGATTGATGAAAAGTGTCTGATAATCCTGACTTGCAATGACCTCTCTCATTTGTCTTCATTCAGACAGCAGCATGTAATTTCTACGTATGTATATTTACTTGTGCAATCCTCTTTCTTCTCCTTCTTCTTGATTTTAACCCAGCCTGTTCATTTCTGGAGGTTCAACTTAACTGGGAGGGAAAATATTCTCAGTTACTTTCTAGTTTATTTTGCACACTACCATTTCTTTGGGAAATTAATTAAAATGGATTGATAAGGGTTGGAAGAAGAACCACTTGCAAAGGAAAATCAATGGCTGTTTCTTAGGTTATGTGGTTTCTGCACCATGGTGGCGCAGTGGTTAGAATGCAGTATTGCAGGCTAAATGAGCTCACTGCCAGCAGTTCGATGCTGACTGACTCAAGGTTGACTCAGCCTTCCGTTTCTCCGAAGTTAGTAAAATGAGGACTTGGTGTCAACTCTGAATCGAACCTGCCTGAAGCCATCTTGTACTGCTTCATAGTTGCCACGGACTATAAGGGGGGAATGGTTAGACTGTCTTGTAGACAAAATAAAGAGCTCTCCCATGGGAACCAAGGTCATCTCAACAGGTGGCGGTAGCAGGAGGCCGAAGTGGTCGAGGGAGCCCGCCAGCTGCTTTGATTGGACAATGTGATCTGTGATACCTGGGGAGGGAACCGTTTGCTCCTTTAATTACATGGGAACCGCGGAAAACTTGTAGAGATGGTTTTCACTGGCTGTACCAATATGATGTGTCCAATAAACATGTTCTCTTGAAGAATGATCCTGCCTTGGGGTTCTGATTCCTTTGGTTGTGTTGACTCAGATGGTTGGGGAAATATGCTGACTCTCCAAACCGCTTAGAGAAGGGGTCCCCAACCACTGGTGGGGCTGCTACCAGTTCGGACCAGTTCTAGTGAACCGGTACTTCCGGTGAGCAGTTGGCCACGCCCACCTGACCCTCCCCTTTCCTGTCCTATATTTCCCTCTTTTTTAGTTCAGCTGATTTGCATGGCACAGCAGATTGCTCGGCTGTTTTACTCACCAGTGCTGACATAGAAGGTAAGTTTTTAAGCTTAAAATGCGTGGTTTTTGAACCCTGCACGCGAAGCGTGGGCTCACCAAGCCAGTTATTAACCAGTTGCAGCCCACCACTGTCCCCAACCCCTAATCTGTGAACTGGCACTGGTCCACAGTATGCCAGAAACTGGGCTACGCAAACAAGCAAAGCCCCATCTGTGGGATGCAGGCAGCACGGGAAATAACACCCCACCAGTCCATGGAAAATCTTCTCTCCACAGAACCGGTCCCTGGTACCCAAAAGGTTGGGGGCCACTGGCATAGAGAGTGATGTAAAGCATGATGAAGTGGTATATTGTCTCAGTGCTATTTGTATTTTTGGTTGTAAGACGTAGCTCAGCCTGTTAGATTTACTATCTATTGTTACCTACCTTGGCAGATCCACTACAGTCCGGTTACCAAGTAGACTAACATCTGATGATGTCACCTAGTTTGGCTAATGAAACACCTGCAAGAAAACAATCAAACTCAGATGGCATCAAGGACCCCTCAGACTAAAATCTGCAATTGGAGATATGGCCACATCAAAAATTCAATCTCACAAGATGATTGGGGGCGGGGAGGGGTGCTACCAACTAGCAGCTTATAAAAGTCTATATAAAATATAAACGTCTAATAAGTTAACACCTGCTCGAATGTCACTCCAACAGTTCTGGGAGAAAGAATTCTGCAAATCTTGATTGAGAAAAGAAACCATTTTGAGTCCTAAATCAATCTTGAGCTGGAAACCGAGAGAGTGAACAGATGCAGCTAATATAGTGTGGGTATAATTCTCCACCTTGGTGCCTCCCAGACATATTTCAACTCTCATCACCTCCAGCTGGTAGGTCCAAAGGTTTATAAATCACAAATTGCTGTAAACTGAAGCAGAGTTGGGTACTCTGGTCGGTTATGGCTTTGACTGATGGGAGGGTGAAATCTCTTATTTTTGCTTGAACTTCCTGTACATTTCAATAGGATAATTCTTGTAATCCAGAGATTATTATTACCTGCATTGCATAAACCAGCTTCTAAAAAAAATGAGATGGTTAGAAGGTGCCTATTTAATTTCTCGTGAAGAAATCACTGCAAACTGATCTGATAATAAATGTTAGTCTAAGGCGAGAAATAATTCTTTGGATAGCTTCACATGACGCCATAAGCCATCCTTTCTTTAACTATGGGTGACTTAGTAAATGTATAAAAATCTTTTTAAAAAACAGGCGTAGCTTTGGTTGCCACTATCTGTATGTTTTTTTATCACACCCTGCAGACACTTCTGACTTGCACCGGGTAATGTTTTTGCTGCAGCAACCTTTCTCTGTCTCTCCCCCTTGAATCTATGATACTGTTGGTTTTATTTATGTGCATATAGATGGAATGCTTAAAAGAGAGTTCATTGCACTGGGCGTAATCATAAATTACAGATTTGGAAGCGGCCATTTAGATCACAGTATCCAAAGGTTTCTTCTGTACAAGAAACCAGATTTTAGCATCCCCTACAAATGGCTGGCCTTCTCCAGGCTGGCGTGATGAACAGATAGAGCTGGAAAGTGGGGTTGAACGTTTCATCAGTTTGGAATCATCACAGCAACTAGAGACCCAAATCCAGCCCCTTATGAACTCCGTTGACTCTTATTTAGCACCAATTTAGCTTTGCCCGTTGTTGTTGTTGTTAGTTGCGAAGTGGCGTCCGACCCATGGACAACGTTCCTCCAGGCCTTCCTGTCCTCTACCATCTTCTGGAGTCCATTTAAGCTCATGCCGAATGCTTCAGTGACTTCGTCCAAGTGCTTTTCCCTACTTTCTTCAATTTAAGCCTAAATTTTGCAACGAGAAGCTCATGATCTGAGCTACAGTCAGCTCCTGGTCTTGTTTGTTACTGACTGTATAGAGCTTCTCCGTCTTTGGCTGCAGAGCACATAGTCAATCTTGATTTCTGTGTTGACCGTCTGGTGATGTCCCTGTGTAGAGCCGTCTCTTGGGTTGTTGGAAAAGAATGTTTGCTGTGACCATTGTATTCTCCTCATAAAATTCTACGAGCCTGGGCCCCACTTCATTTTGTACTGCAAGGCCAAACTTGCCTGTTATTCCGGTTATCTTTTGGCTTCCTACTTTAGCATTCCAATCCCCCCATGATGATTAGGACATCATTTTTTGGGTGTTAATTCTATAAGGTGCTGTAGAACTGCTGAATTTCATCCTCTTCAGCATTAGTAGTAGATCAGGTTCCTGTGTAGAGATAGCAATAATAAACTCTTCGGTGCTTTGAACTTGGTGAGTGCTCCTGGTTATTTGCACCTGACAGCTTCCTGGGGAATTCTGGGAGTTGAAGTCCACACTGTGTCGGTGTGACTTCTCTGCCTTAACTGTTCTTATTAGGAAATTCTTCCCAACATTCAGAATGTACCTTCATCTGGAAAGACAAAAAGCAGATCTTGATATATACTGTATCTGAAGGGATCTGTATGTAGCCTTCCAGATATCATGATCTTCTTTTAATGACTGCATAATCCCTTTTGGGGTGGAGTCTGGTCAAATGAATGGAGCTAGCAGAATGTTTACTGGCCGGATGCCCTTCCTGTCACCAATATGGAGTTTTGTTCAGTGGATATATTCTCATTGTGCTGTCTGTAGCCTTCCAGGTATATGAGTCACATATGTGTGATGGATAGCTATGTAAAATAAATGAATAAATGAAATATTTAAAAAGTATTCAAAAAGTGCTACACATGCCTTCTTTTTTTTCAAAAGCAAGGGCTGTAATTTATCTCTCCTCTTCCCCTAATTGTTCCTCACTGCTTCCCTTTGACCCATTCTAATAGAACTGCTATTTCTTCTGATTTTGTAACTAGATTTCTATAGGCACAGGATCCTAAATTTTATTTTGCTTTTGGGGAAGTAATTGTAGAGTAAGTATTGACTGGTTGAGCTGACTCTTATTCTACAATCTTTTTCATGCATTTTATTGAGACAATTCCTTTTAGAGGGAACCGTCAATAGGCTTTTAAAACAAAGATCAGCCATCTGTCCACATTCTCCTATTCCAGCACAATTTCTGTGTGATCTCTTTTTCTGCAGTACCTGCACGCATTCTCCCTTACCTTTATTATTATTTTTAAATGAAGAATTTCAACCTAGCCCTGAATAGATCTACTCCTATTGCAACTTTTTTTACCAAATAATTGCTGGTTATTAGTCTCCTTCTGGGATACTATAATGTAACCATGACTATCACTGCCCCTATCTTGGATCTTAGAAGGCATTGGGTGATATGACAGCACTGTTCAAATATCTAGGGTGCTGTCACGAAGAAGAGGGGGTCAACCAAAACCCAAGGTGGTATATTCAAGCAGGTTATGACCAGTTGTGGAGAACCAGTAGTGGAAATTTTGAGTAGTTCGGATAACTGGCAAATGCCACCTCTGACTGGCCCCGCCCCCATCTATTCTCTGCCTCCCATTGAGTCCCAGCTGATCGGCTAGGTCTCCTTTTGTTGCCCTGCACAGGAGAACAGAACTGGAATGCAGGTTAGTGGGGAGGGAATGGGGATTTTACAGTAACCTTCCCCTGCCACGCCCACCAAGCCACACCCACGAAGCCATGCCACAGAACTGGTAGTAAACCATTTTTGAATCCCATCACTGACAAAACCCAGTTGCCCCAACCCTATTTCAAATCACGGGACATATAGGTCATAAAAAGGAGAAAACCAAGTTATTTCATAGAATCGTAGGGCTGGAAGCGACTTTGGCGGTCTTTTAGTTCAACCTCCTGCTCAGTGCAGGAGTCCTCATATCATCCAGTCAAATGGTTGACCAATTTATTATTCAACACCTCCAGTGATGGAGCACCCACAACTTCCAGAGGTGGAGGAGGGGAGGTAGGTAAGCTATTTCATTATGATTGTTCTCACTGTCAGAAAACTTCTCCTTAGTTCTAGGTTGGATCTCTCTTGAGAAACTTCTACCTGTTATTATTTCTCGATTGTTGTTCTGTTCTTGCAGCTTCCATCTACACAACTGCATAGACTGTTGATTATTTTTGCATTCAACACTCTTGGTTCGGCTGAAAGAAAATATTTACACTCCTGCTGTGATTGTGATAGTCGGTTGCCTCCCCTGTGTCTGATACGTTTGAACTATAACAATTGCCGTCTGACAGTCTAGGAATGTTTATGGTTCCAAAACGAAATAGGCTGGAAGATTTGGTAAGATTTCACTGTGCTGGACAGGCAAGGCAACACTGGCGAATTCCCACGGTAACTTCTTTTCTTCTACTCTGCAATGCCTCGAGAACGTTTTTAGAGATACAGGCTGGAAAATATATGCCAACAAACATATTGACAAGAAACTTCACTGTGATCCTTGCTTGTTTTCAGGGAGATTTTTCTTTTTCAGTGACCTAAATACTGCTTAACAGCTAAACATGATTTTTTTTTTAAAAAAAATCATCATTATTAGAGTTTGGACAACCATTTGTCTGAAATGGTATAAGCGTTTGCTGCCAGAGAAGGGGGTTGGACTAGAAGACCTCCAAGGTCCCTTCCAACTCTGTTATTCTAACTAATTCTAAAACCATTATTATTATTTATTTTATTTGTAAAAAGATAAAAAGGTAAAGGTTTCCCCTGCTCAGTTGTCTCTGACTTATCTCTGTTTCTTAGCTGAGAAGTGTTGTCTTTAGAGACTCTTCTGTGATCGTGTCTGGTATGACTATATGCTGAGGTGCACAGGCATTGTTTACCTTCCCATCGAAGTGGTACCTATTTACCTACTTGCATTTGCATGCTTTTAAACTGTTTTTTTAGCTTGGCAGGAGCTGAGGCAAGAGCTGGCGCTTTCCCCGTCTTGCTGTAATGGGGTCTCAAACTCCCAACCTTCCAGCTGACAAGCCCAGCATCTTAATTGCTAGGTCATGGCGTCCCATCCAGCCATTATAATTTCTACAAATAAGTTGTCGGGCATACCTAATCCTCCTTCTGTCTCTATTTTTTCCACAACAACAACTCTGGTGAAGTGAGTTGGGCTGAGAGACAATGACGGGCCCAAAGCAGTGGTGGGATTCAATTTTTTTTACTACCAGTTCTGTGGGTGTGGCTTGGTGAGTGTGGCAGGGGAAGGATACTGTAAGATCCCCATTCCCTCCCCACCCCACTAACCTGCTTTCCAGCTCCGTTCTCCTGTTCAGGGCAACAAAAGAAGACCCAACCAATCAGCTGGATCTCTGAAGGCAGAGAATAGATGGGGGCGGGGCCAGTCAGAGGTGGCATTTGCCAGTTCTCTGAATGACTCCAAATTTCCGCTACTGTTTCTCCAGAACTGGTCAGAACCTGCTGAATACCACCTCTGGCCCAAAGTCACCTAAGATAGAACTAGAATTTTCTACTTTCAACAGGTAGTCCTCAACGTTCGACCACAATTGCGCCCAAAATTTATGTTGCTAAGTGAGAAAATTGTTTAATGAGCTTAGCTCCATTTTACGACTTTTCTTGCCATATTGGTTAAGTGAATCACTGCAGTTGTTAAATTAGGAATGTAGTTTTTAAGTGGTTTCCCCACTGACCTTCCCTCAGAAGGTCACAAAAGAGAATCCCATGTGCCTGGGACACTGCAACCATCACAAATGTGAGTCAGTTGTCAAGTATCCAAATATAAACCAGTGATCATGGGGATCTGTCATAAGTATGAAAGATAGTCATAAGTTGCATTTTTCAGTGTGGTTGTAACTTCAAATGGTCATGAAGTGAATTATTTAAGTTGAGGACTATCTGTACTTTCTAGACTGATACCTTAACCACTAGACCAAGCTGGTTTCTGTGGACAATGCTGGGCATTTCCCAGTCTGAAGACTGGGAAAGAAAGGTTTTTGATTCAAAATGGTGGGGGAATGACTTGCCTCCAGAATATAGAATAGAGCTGGGAGGGACCTTGGAGGTCTTCTAGTCCAGCCCCTTGCTCAAGCAGGAGAACCTATACCATTTTAGACACATGGCTGTCTAGTCTCTTCTTAAAAACCTCTAGTGATAGAGCACCCACGACTTCTGGAGGCAAGCTGTTCCATGGGTTAATTGTCCTCACTATTAAGGAAATTTCTCCTTAATTCCAGGTTGCTTCTCTCGTTGATTAGTTTCAACCATTGCTTCTTGTCCTGCCCTCCAGTGCTTTGGAGAATAATTTGATCCCCTCTTCTTTGCGGCAGCCCCTCAAGTACTGGGATAGTATGCCAAGGTGTTTTGACTCTTCACATCACCCCAAATTCTTCTTTTCTTTAGACTAGCCAAACTCAAATCCTGCAGCCCTTCTTCATATGTTTTAGTCTCCAGGCATTTGATCATCTTAGTTGCTCTTCTCGGAACTTTTTCCAAAGTCTCAACATCTTTTTTGTAGCACGGTGACCAAAATTGGTTGCAGTATTCCAGGTGTGGCCTTACTAGAGTTTTATAAAGTGGTACTAGTACTTCACTAGTACTACATACTAGTACTTCAGAAGTTGTGGGTGCTCCAACTCTGGAGATTTTTAAGAGTAAGTTAGACAACATTTGTCTGAAATGGTACAGGCATTCCTGCTTGAAGAGATGGTTGGACGAGAATGCCTTCAAGGTCCCTCTCAACTCGGTTATTCTAAAAATATTTAGGATTTAATAAGGGCTAACGTTCAGAGAAACACTTGAATTTCTACCCTAGTCAGATTCTGCATGTGTCTGTCCTCTTTCTTATCTGCAACGAAGCAATTCATCAATCAGCCCTGAGTCTGTGAAGCTTCTCCAGTTCTCCAAAGAGGAGTCAAGTTTCCAGGGAGTGGAGATTTATAACTATGCCTGGCCTGAGGTCTGACAGATGGGAGGTAACATCTGAGCACACTGATCCCAAGTCCACTTTAAAGACAAGACGGGAGGTCAGATAGGACATGGACAGGATATTAAATAGCAGGTATGCCTGTTCAAGCTGGATGGCATTTCTGTTGGCATCACAGTCATTATTTCCACATTTGCCCTTCTACCTTTCAATTAGCTCTCAATCTATACCCTTAAATCTGTGACCTTATTTGCCTTCTTTTGTAAGAATACATCATTGGCTGCTCTGTAGAGTCCCCGGTACCCACTTGAAATAGCCTTCTCACGCAACTACAGGTAGTTGTTGATTTACAACAATTCATTTAGTGGCTGTTTGAAGCTACAACAGTGCTGAAAAAAGTGACTTATGTCTGTTTTTCACACTTACCACCATCACAACATCCCCATAATCACATGATCAAATTTTATTTATTTATTTATTTGTTTGTTTGTTTGTTTATTTATTTATTTGTTTATTTATTTACTTATTTATTAAGGTAAAGGTTCCCCTCACACATACGTGCTACTCATTTCTGGCTCTAGGGGGCGGTGCTCATCTCCGTTACAAAGCCGAAGAGCTGGCGCTGTCCGAAGACGTCTCTGTGGTCATGTAGCTGGCATGACTAAATGCCGAAGGCGCACGGAACTCTGTGACCTTCCCACCAAAGGTGGTCCCTGTTTTTCTACTTGCATTTTTACGTGCTTTTGAACTGCTAGGTTGGCAGAAGCTGGGACAAGTAACGGGAGCTCACTCCGTTGCATGGTGCTAGGGATTTGAACTGCTGAACTGCCAACCTTTCTGATTGACAAGCTCAGCGTCTTAGCCACTGAGCTACCACGTCCCTAGATTTATTTATTAGAATTTGTCAAACAAAAACAAGCATAAGAGAATAAAAATATAATGACAGGGATGATTGGCATATCACTGAACTAACCACTTAAGTATGACATAAGGTCCACGGAAGTTCATATGCTTGGCAACAGGTTCATACTTATGACAGTTGCTTTGTTTTGGGGTCATGCAATTGTGACCCCAAGAGTCGTGGTGGTGCAGTGGTTAGAATGCTTTATTGCAAGTTAATTCAGTCCACTGCCAAGAGTTCAATCCTGACTGGCTCAAGTTTGAATCAACCTTCCATCCTTCCGGGATCGGTAAAATGGGGACCCAGATTGTTTGGGGTCAATAGGATGACTCTGTATAACCACCGTAAAGCCCTGTGAAGTGGTGTATAAATTTAAGGGCTATTGCTAAATGCTATTGCTTATCCCCTTTTGTGACTTTCTGACAAGCAAAGTCAATGGGGAAACTAGATTCATTTAGCAGCCGTGTTATTAACTGAATAACTGCATTGATTCATCTAACCACTATGGCAAGAAAGGTTGAAAAATGGGTCAGAAACTCACTTAAACTCACTGTCTCACTTAGCAATGGAAATTTTGGGCTGAACTGTGGTCGTACGTTGAGGACTACCTGTAGTTGTTTGCTCGGGTTCCCCTGGGTCAAGAAGGCACGGGAAAGCCCCAAAAGCTGTTCCCTGTGGACAACCAGTTAAATATGAGTCAGCAGTGTGTGGCGGCAGCCCAAAAAGCCAACGCAATCCTAAATTGCATTAACAGAGAGAAACAATCAAGATCAAGGGAGGTACTAATACCACTCTATAAAGCCTGAGTAAGACCACACCTAGAGTACTGCATCCAGCTTTGGTCACCACACTATAAAAAAGATGTTGAGACTCTAGAAAAAGTACAGACAAGAGCAACCAGGATGATTAGGGTACTGGAGACTATAACATACGAAGAAAGGTTGCAGGAACTGGGCATGGCTAGCCTAGTGAAGGGAGACATGATAGCAGTATTGCAATACTTGAGGGGCTGCCCCAGAGGGGAGGAAGGGGTCAAGATATTTTCCAAAGCACCTGAAGGCCTGACAAGGAACAATGGATGGAAACTGAACAAGGAGAGATTCAACCTGGAAATAAGGAGAAATTTTCTGACAGTGAGGACGATCAATCAATGGAACAGAAGTTGCCTTCAGAAGTTATGGGAGCTTCATCACTGGAAGCTTTCAAGAAGAGACTGGACTGCCATTTGTCAGAAATGGTGTAGGGTCTCATGCTTAGGTGGATGTGGGGGGTTGGACTAGATGACCTACACGATCCCTTCCAACCAGAGGTGGTATTCAGCAGGTTCTGACCAGTTCTGGAGAACCAGTAGCAGAAATTTTGAGTAGTTCGGAGAACCAGCCAATACCACCTCTGACTGGAGATTTTAAAGTATCCTTCCCCTGCCACGCCCACCAAACCATGCCCACAGAACCGGTAGTAAAAAAAATTTGAATCCCACCACTGCTTCCAACTCTGTTAATCTGTTAAATCTATCTTTTAACCAGCTGATGCAAACACCAGTTGAAGCTCATTCTCTAACTTTTCCTGCTGATTTCTGCTTTCGAGAACAATGGCTCACTATGGGGGAATCATCAATAACTGCTGAGATGAGCAAGATGAGAATTTAATTAAATGCATTCTGACGCAGTTGGAACAAGAATCCATGAAGAGGGTTTTCTCCTTGGAGAAGCTGCAAGGAGCGGCATTCTGCAGAGGGAAAATGGCTGTCTTCCCACACTCTTTTTTTTTTTTTGCCTCTAATTCTGCCTAAATTCCATCAGGCAGGATTTAAAGTATCCTAAAGGCAAAATAGCTCTGTCAGTCAGCATGCCAATTGCATTTTTAAGGAATATGTTTAACTCGGGGGGCTTTTCAAATAAATAAAAGAGTGATAAACTCCCCTTTCTCTCTTTCCTTTCCTTAGGCATTGCTTACATAATATTGAAAAAAATATCCTCTCCTAACCTACAACAATAAATCTCATGCAATTATTCCTATCCAATTGAAAAGGGAAATGCCATTTCTTTAAAAAAAAAAAAGCTTCTTAAAACTGTTAGGTTTTAACCAAATGCTGTTAAAAAAGAAAATAAGTCTATTTAGCCTCTTATTCCCAGTCCAGGGCAAGTTGGCTAAGTAAGGTCAGATTTGATTTATTTGTGAGTGGGAGGCCTCCAAAGAAAACAAGAGTTTTAAGTTAGACTGGGAAATTAAAAAAAAACATTCCACAAGAAATCTGTAGCGAGGCACTTCGGTTTGATTGCCAATAAAACAATGAATCCATGATGGTCCAAGAACCGAACCTCACCTCAAAGGAGATGTGAGAGCATTTGAGTTCTATAAAGCAGAAATCTCATGATCTCACTTGGAAGTTATGAGCCAGCACTAATGAAGTAGAAGATGGATGATTTTACAAAGTTGGCAATAAAACTGCAGGCATAACTCCTGGAAAATGCTGATTTGAGAAGGTGAGCGACAACACAAGCAACCTCCCCATAACAAGGCAAGTGGAGTTGTCTCCGGCATGAATAAGTGAAATCCATGGATGGAGTCAGCAAAGTGATTGACAAAGAGAGAAGAGAGAAGAGAGAAGAGAGAAGAGAGAAGAGAGAAGAGAGAAGAGAGAGAGAGAGAGAGAGAGAGTCAGTCAGACAGACAGACAGACAGACAGACATTCTAACTTTCCACTGTTGATAGAAGACTGGCACTTTTGCAAAGAACCAGATTGAGGAACTATGTTGTCCATTAAGTGAGGACCTGGCTGTTTGGAATTTATAATGCTAAAGAAGCTGAAATGAAACAGAAGAGGTCAACCACCAAGCAAAGGGAATGGACTCAGTGACAGCAGCAATGGATGTACCCTAAAGGACAGTAAATATCTAAATGGAGCAGAGCAGAGTAGAATAGAATGAGCTGGGAGGGACCTTGGAGGTCTTCTAGTCCAGCCCCCTGCTCAAGCAGGAGAACGTATACCATCTCAGATAAGTAACTGTCTAGTTCAGGGGGTCTTCAAACTTGACAATTTTAAGACTTGTGGACTTCAACTCCCAGAATTCCTCCTCCAGGCATGTTAGCTCAGGAATTCTGGGAGTTGAAGTCCACAGGTCTTAAACTTGCCAAGTTTGAAGACCCTTGGTCTAGTCTCTTCTTAAAAACCTCCAATGATGGCACATCCACGATTTCTGAAGGCAAGCTGTCCCACTGGTTAATTGTCCTCACTGTTAAGGAAGTTTCTCCTTAATTCCAGGTAGCTTCTCTCTTTGATTGGTTTCCAACCATTGTTTTTTGTCCTGCCGTCTGGTACTTTGGAGAATAATTTGACCCCCTCTTCTTTGTGGCAGCCCCTCAAGTACTGAGATACTATGCCAAGATGTTTTGACTCTTCACAGTTACATCAAAGGCTCTTCCCTCTGAACTGCATTTTCTGGTGGAGTTGAAAAGGTCTTCAGGAAGGGACAACAACTCAGACCACATGTGTGCATCCTATGTCGTCTGTGGCTAGCATGGCCACTTCTTCAAGAGTGCAAGAATGGATGGTGTTGTGATGTTCCCAGTCCTAGCACATAGCAAAAGCAGCTTCTGTCCATGATTTGCACCTGTGGTTCAGGTGTAATGGTGGGGCTGAGGGGGTTTCTGCCCAAGTCACCTTAAGCCTTGCAATGAAGATTGTTTCAAGCGTTCTGTCTTGGTTTCATTAATAATCACAGCGATGGTTTTATTTGAATAGCTTTCCATATCATCATTCCTGACTGGCAACATGGGATGTCCCAATCTCCATTCTTGTTGCTTTCTTTAGAGTTTACTATTTCAAAGTTATAAAATCAATCTGTTGTAAATCTATCCATTGATCCCAGGCCGGCTCAAAATGGGTATTTTCTGGTCCCTGTAAAACCTCCTGCTCGCTTAATTTTTTATTTATTTTTATTGATTTGATTTGTCAATCACTTACAAGATAATAGGTATCAGTATAAACGTGAGTAAGAATACAGGAAATGGGGACAATAGGACAGGGACTGTAAGCACGATGGTACCCTTATGCACGCCCCTTACAGACCTCTTAGAAATGGGGTGACGTCAATGGTGGATAGTTTAAGGTTAAAGGAGTGGGGGTTAGAGGACGTAACAACAGAGTCAGGTAGTGCATTCCAGGTATTGACCACTCTGTTGCTGAAGTTGTACTTTCTGCAGTCAAGTGGAGCGGTTTACATTGAGTTTGTATCTGTCGTGTACTTTTGTATTGTTGTGGTTGAAGCTGAAGTAATCATTGACTGGTAGGACATTGTGGCAGATAATTTTGTGTACGATGCTTAAGTCCAACTGTAGGCGGCATAGTTAAAGGTTGTCCAAGCCCAAAATTTCAAGCCTGGTGATATAGGGCATTCTGTTGTTAGTTTTATTCTTGTAAGTCTTTTTCAGTTTCTCCCCAGGCAACGCTAAACCCATTACACTTCCTCTCCCACCCTTTGTCCACTGTATGCAACATTTCCCCTTTGCTTCTGCCAAAGAAAAACCTCTAGATAGGTAGGTAGATAGAACTTTACTGTGGCCGGAAGCCAGTAAAACAAGCAAACTTAGAAAAATACAAAGAAAGAAAATTTCTATGGGATGGGACCTAACCTTCAGGAAACAGCTTCTGTTGCATTCTTGAAGCAAAATAGCCAAACTTGATAGCATGATAGATGACCTAAAAGATTCTGTCAGCTAACAGGGACGTTACAGGGGGGACATCTCGCTGCCCTGGAATTGAAAGATAGACATCCATACGTTTGACATGAACCCAAATAAAATTTGCAATGTACTGTAGCAGGCATCTGTGACAGTGCTAGATAAGAATGTTGCATCAAGCTCCTAAATAAACAGCTGACAGTTGTGGTAGCATTGAAAAAAGGGGGGACATCTTGAAGATGTATTAGTGGAAGGAATGATGGAATGACACACAGCCTAGGTTCTTCAGGGCAGCATTGGGAAGATGAAGGAAGGGAGGAAGGAAAGAAGGAAGGAAGGAAGGAAGGAAGGAAGGAAGGAAGGAAGGAAGGAAGGAAGGAAGGAAGGAAGGAAGGAAAGAAGGAAGGAAGGAAGGAAGGAAGGAAGGAGGACATCCAAGAGGGAAACAGTGATGGACAAGGGCACAACCATAGACTTGCTGGGACTAATATGGTGCAAACAATTCCTGAAAGGAAGGAGAGGCATGGATGAATCAGTCCAACAGAAGCCAGCCAATAAGGCTTGCTGCCTTTCCTGCATGAGTAAGAAGAGCAAAAAGGAGAGGAAGAACCAATCAGATTGCGACACAATGTCCAGTAGACCTTGGGAACATGGAGAAGGAAGGAGGAACATTATAGGCAAGATTCCTGAATCCAGAGGAAAGAAGAAATGTGAGAAACTCAAGTCACTCTGCCTTAATTATGCTACATACAAGTCGATCCAGCTAGACAATTACTTTAGCAGGCTTTCAAGACAACATCTGATTACCAATAAATGCCTTTCCAGAAATCCAAATAGTTTCTCCTATTATAAAAGAGCTTCATGCCAGAGGTGGTATTCAGCAGGTTCTGACCAGTTCTGGAGAACCGGTAGCGGAAATTTTGAGTAATTCGGAGAACCGGCAAATCCCACCTCTGACTGGCCCCGTCCCCATCTATTCTCTGCCTCCCAGTGAGTCCCAGATGATTGGCTGGGTCTCCTCTAGTTGCCCTGCACAGGAGAACGGAGCTGGAAAGCAGGTTAGTGGTGTGGGGAGGGAATGGGGATTTTGCAGTATCCTTCCCCTGCCATGCCCACCAAGCCACACCCACCAAGCCACATCACACCCACCAAGCCAAGCCCACAGAA